ACATCCTTAATTTTACTCGTAGGTATTTTACTCTTTTTGAAGCAGTTGTGAATGGGATTGTTTTCTTAGTTTTCCTTTTGAGCATCCATTATTGCTGTATAAAAATGCAACTGTTTTTTTTTTCTATTTATTTTGTATCCTACTACTTTAGTGAATTCATTTATCAGTTCTTAGCTTTGTGGTGGAATCTTTAGGGTTCTCTATATACAGTATCATGTCAACTACAGATAATGAGTTTTACTTCTTCCTTTCCATTTGGATGCCTCTTATTTCTTCTTGTCTGATTGCTCTCTTGGACTTCCCGTACTATATTAAACAAGAGTGGTCAAAGAGGACATCCCTATCTTGCTGCTGATCTTAAGGACAATGGTGGTAGTTTTAGCCCATTGAGTATAATGTTTTCTGGGGGTTTGTCATATATGGCCTTTATTACCTTGACGTATGTTTCCTCTATGCCTACTTTGTTAAGAGTTTTTATCATAAATGGGAGCTGGATTTTATCAAATGCAATGCCTTTTCTGCATCTATTGTCATGATCATGTGGATTTTATCCTTCATTTTGTTTATGTGGTGTGTCACTTTTATTGATTTGTAGACACTGTACCAACCTTGCATCCCCAGAATAAATCCCACTTGATCATGGTGCATGATCTTTTTAATGTATTGCTGGATTCAACTGCCTAATCGTTTGTTGAGGATTTTAGCATCTATGCCAGGGGTCCTCAAACTACGGCCCGCGGGCCACATGCAAATACAAATATTGTATTTGTTCCCGTTTTGTTTTTTTACTTCAAAATAAGATATGTGCAGGGTGCATAGGATTTTGTTCATAGTTTTTAAAACTATAGTCCGGCCCTCCAACGGTCTGAGGGACAGTGAACTGGCCCCCTGTTTAAAAAGTTTGAGGACCCCTGATCTATGCTCATCAGAGATATTGGCCTATAATTTTCTCTCTTTCTAGTGTCATTAACTGATTTTGGAATTAGGCTAATGCTGGCCTTGTAAAATGAAGTTGGGAGCCTTCCCTCTTCTTGAACTTTTTGGAATTGAGGATAGGCGTCAGTTCCTCTTGGAATATTTAATAAAATTCACCTGTGAAGCCATCCAGTCCAGGATTTTGGCTTGTTGGAAGTTTTTTTTTTTATTTTTTTTATTACTGCTTCAGTTTCACTAGTTGTAATCTGTCTATTCAGATTCTCTGATTCAGTTTTGGAAAATTGTATGTTTCTAGGAGTTTACCCATTTCTTCCAAATTGTCCAATTTGTTGGCATATAGTTGTTCATAATAACCTCTTATAATCCTTTGTATTTCTTTGGTGTCAGTTGTTACTTCTCTTTCATTACAACGGAATGTTATTAAGCCATAGAAATGATACATGCTACAAGGTAGATGATCCTCAAAAACAGAATGCTAAGTGAAAGAAGCCAGACACAAAAGGCTACACATTGTATCACTCCATGTAATGAAGCATCCAGACTAGGTAGGTCCAGACACAAAAACAGATTGGTGCTTTCCAGAGACTAACTGTAGAGGGGGGTAGGGAGTGGCTACTTAATGGATGCAGGGCTTTCTTTAGAGTGAGGAAGCTGTTGTGGAACTTGATATAGGTGGTGATTGCATAACACTGTGATTTATTAAATGTTACTGAATTACACTTTATAAACATTTACTTGAAAAGCTCAGTCTCAACATGGATGAGTTACCTTACAGAATAAATGACGTTTAAATTTTTCTTTAGATATTAAAATCTATTTCCACAACAACCTAAGTGTGCACTGACAGATGAATGGATAAATATATGGTATATACAATGGGATTCGGCCTTGAAAAAGGCAATCCCGCCATATGTTACACATGGATGAACCTTGACATTATGCTCAGGTAAATAAGTCAGTCACAAAAAGACAAATTTTACATGATTCCACTTACATGACGTAGCTAAAGTAGTCAAACATTTAGAAACAGAAAGTGGAATGGTGGTTGCCAAGGGTTGTGGGCAGGGAGAAAAGAGTTCAGTGGGTATACTAGTAATGTTGCAGTTTTACAAGATAAAAAAAGTTTTAGAGATCTACTACGCAACAATATGTATAGTTAACACTGAAAAATGGTTAAGATGATACATTTTATGTTGTTTTTGCCACAATTTTTAAAAAAAGGAATGTGCAAAGGCACAGTGGCAGATTATATTATTATAAAAATACTAGAGGCCCAATGAACAAAAATTCGTGCAAGAGTAGGCCTCCCTTCCCCCGACTGCCAACACCGGCTTCCCTCCTCTGACTGCCCACAGGCACCCGGGACAGGGCTGCTTCCTTCCTCCGGCTGCCCACAGGCACCCGGGACCCGCTCTGCTTCCCTCCTCCAGCCACCCATAGGTGCCTGGGACCCAGGCTGGCTTCCCTTGGGCCCGACTTTGTCAGGAAGGACGTCTGGAATGATATCCGGAAGACGTCCAGTCTAATTAGCATATTACCCTTTTATTATTATAGATTCACTGCCCTCTCTTGCTGTGGGCCCCAATAAGGCCAACCTGGCCACATAACTCGCTTTGGCTAATAAAATGAGAGGGCAAATTACTTGTGTGACTTCTGAGCACAAGCTTCAAAAAGCCACCACATGGTTTCCATTTATAATGAAACTCAGAATTGGCAAGGTCCTAAATGGAACTTGACTTACTTATGTTTAAGTCCAAATTAGCAAATCAATTTGACAATTATTGCTGATTATCAAATATTTTCATCTTCATCTTCTTTACTCCTTGGCTGTAATCCTCACTATAGCTACAGGCAGCACTAGTCTTTCTTGATAAAATTGTTCATCCAGAATCAGCAAAGGGAGATCGGAATAAAATTAGAGAATCTGTTGCCATCATTTATTGAGCCACAATAATTGTAAGATTGTTGCTGGTTATGGTCAAATCATGAATAATTGTTTCAAATATTGTTTTTAAAATGCTAAACAAATAAATGTAACATATATGATGCATAAAAAAGGTGATTCTGTTAAGAAATTGAACATGAAATCAGGTTAATTAAAACCCTTAGTGATACAACTCCTCTCCTTGAAAGAATCCTTTTCCCAATATATGTATTTATTGAGAGAAAGGGGAGAGATGGAGAGAGGGGTAGGGAGGGAGGGAAACTTCCATTTGTTGTTCCACTTATATATGCATTCATTGGTTGATTCTTTTTTTTTTTAATATATTTTATTGATTTTTTACAGAGAGGAAGGGAGAGGGATAGAGAGTTAGAAACATCGGTGAGAGAGAAACATCGATCAGCTGCCTCCTGCACACTCCCCTCTGGGGATGTGCCCGCAACCAAGGTACATGCCCTTGACCGGAATCAAACCTGGGACCCTTCAGTCTGCAGGCCGACGCTCTATCCACTGAGCCAAACCGGTCAGGGCCATTGGTTGATTCTTATATTGCGCTGAATCGGGATTGAGCTCATAACCTTGGTGAATTGGAAGATGCTCTAATCAATTGAGCTATCTGGGCAGGGTTCCTAATATTGTTTAAATACCAAAAAAATATTGTTGACTATTATAATTATTTTATTTTTTCATTTTAGGAACTAAAAAACAAATGTGTTTATTGAGGCAAGAGGATACAAGCAATATAAAAATCAAAAGCTTCTCTAGCTTTAATTGGCGTTTCCTTCTTCTGTCAAATGGGGGTGGGATTTTATTTGTACACTAGAGGCCCGGTGCACGGATTCGTGCAGCAGTGGGGTCCCTCTGTCTGGCCTGAACCCTCTCGAAATCCGGGACCCCTCGGGGGATGTTGGACTGCCGGTTTTGGCCCAATCCCCACAGGCCAGGCCGAGGGACTCCACCGGTGCATGAATCTGTGCACCGGGCCTCTAGTTTTACATAATTCCATTTTTTTTAGCATGTCAGTTACCATTGGTCCTTGAACAGTGTGGATTTAACTGTACAAGTCCACTTATACATGGATTTGAGTATCTACCCCCTGGTGGTCAGTGTGCAGCATAGCTACCGGTCGAACAGTCAAATGGTCAGACACTTAGCATATTAGCCTTATATATATATAGATTTCCTAAGGATCCCAATCTGCTCATCAAAGCCTTATACAGGGGGAAGCTGTGGAGCAGAGATTCCTTAAGCAACCCCCTGGGAGAACTCTTATCAGGGCGGAGAACTGCTCAGTGCCGCCTGCTTCTCTCCCTTCTGCTTCTTGTGTACGACAAACAGTCACTGCAACGGTGGCAGCCTAGCCTAAGTGAAGAGAGGCTCTGGAAGCCCACTCTGCCGTCTCGGCACTGGTCCAGTCCTTCATTATTCTGTCCACAGCCTCATGGCCTTTTTGATTTTCCAAAAACCCAGGGAACTCCTTTCTCACGAGTACTCTCTGATCCTTCTTTGTTAAAGAGCCTTTATCCCCAGCAAATTTGTGAGAGGTAAACATCATGGTTCCCACGGAATGTTCTATTTGAAATGGCATTTTGGTAAGGTCCTGGCCAAAGGCACGGCAGGACCACAGGGCTGGCTGGGATGTGCGGCTGGTTATTACAATTTCAAATAACTGATCAGTTCATCAATATAAAAAATTTAAATTACCCATTTCTATTTTCAATGTTTCTGGTAAAAAAAATAAATAAACAAGCATGTTTAGTAAGGAGAGAGATATACTTTTAAAAGTTAATCATTTGGCTGCTTTCAGCAACTCTTTAAGATCTTGTTTCAGCTACAAACCACACATGTATATTTTCCAGATGAGAAATAGCTAAAAAATACAACATCTTAGCCATATACAAGTAAGGCTCCACCAAGTGCATTCTTTGAACTAAGAAAATTAGGCCAGGCAAGTAAGTAATGATCTAATGCCCTAAAATCAATAGCTAAAGAGCATCTTGTAAATACATATAAAAATAAGCAGTGCTACTTAAAAAGGACCACTTTTGTTTTGGCCTTAGCAATAAGAAAACGTTTCCAGGTACATTTTGACAATAATAGTCTCATCAGCAACCAAACATACCTGTAGCCTAAGAGAGAAATCTTGTTGAGACTGCTTGATTTGCAAGGAAAGGTTAACAAATTCCAAGACACCCCATTGTTAATATGTAGTAAGTGCAGCGAAAGAAGCTACAAGAAAGAAGCAAGATGATTAAATTGCCAAAAATGTTTCATACTTCAGTAAATTTTTTAAATAGAATCTCAATACCTCCAGAGGTAGATTAGTGACTTTTCAAAGTGTTTTCTAAACTATTTCATGATAAATGTTTTGAGTTCTCAATGTCAATGACTAACTTTAAAATTATTTAATAAAATTTGGGTTATTTCTCAACCCACTTAACATAATGTACACATTTACTTAGGCTTTAGAAAATGTTATATTAAGCCCTAGCTGGTTTGGCTCAGTGGATAGAACGTCAGCCTGAGGACTGAAGGGTTCGAGGTTCAATTCCGGTCAAGGGCACATGCCTGGGTTGCAGGTTCAACCCCCAGTGGGGGGCATGCAGGAGGCAGCTGATCAATGATTCTCTCTCATCATTGATGTTTTTATCTCTCTCCCTCTCCCTTCCTTTCTGAAATCAATAAAAATATTTTTAAAAGATAAAGTTGTATTAAAACTTGGTATTCATGTAATTACTAAAGAACTAAAAGTCTTTGACGCATTTTTATACAAAGTAAAATTCAAATCAAGTACTCAAGTAACGTAGAAGGAAAAGGAAAATCAGTCTCAGAGAGAGGCGTATGTACATTGACAAGAAAAAGAGAAAATGTAAAATTTATCATATTTCCTCTTTCAAAATCAGATTTAGATACAAATTTCCTATGGCTCCCATACCTGCATCCTAACTCTATCCCCCACCTTGACCTATCTGCAAAACTTTCCAAGTCTTAATTTGAATGTGTCTATTATATTGTCTGTAGCCTCATAAAGCATCTCCATTAAGATATAGACAGGTATCAATAGTATGTGTACAGTCTCCTTGCATTAGCTTAATATTAGAAATACAATAAACCCCTAGAGTCAATTCATACATGTTATACATGGGAGCAATATCATGTAGGGATTAAAAGCAAGGGCTGTGGAGGGTCCCAATCAGTTCTGCCACTTACTATATGATATTAACTTAAACTTAATCTTGGGGACTCTTTTCTCTAATTCCTCCTTCATCAGGTAAACAAGGTAAATTGGGAAAGGAATTCAAAACATTCAACACAGAGCCTAGCTACTATGTTAACATGTTGTGTGTGGGTTTTTTTTAAATATTGAATGCATTGGGGTGATACTCGTTAATAAAATGACATACGTTTCAGCTGTACAATTCTATGATACATCATCTGTATATTGTATTGTGTTCACTACTACCCCAAGTCAAGTTTCCTTCCAACACCATTTATCCTCCCTTTACCCTCTTCTACCTCCCTAATCTTCCTTTCCCTCTGGTAATCACCATACTGGTTTTGTGTGTGTGTGTGTGTGTGTGTGTGTGTGTGTGTGTGTTAGCTTTTTCTTTTTCTTTTCTGTTAATTTTGTTTTATTGCTTAAAGTATTACAAAGAGTATTATATGTCTCCTTTTTTTTTCTCCCCTTGACCTTCCCCTGGCCTCCCCTACCCCCCAGTGTCTTGTGTCCATTGGTTATGCTTATATGCATGCATACAAGTCTTTAGGTTGATCTCTTACACCCTCCCCCAACCCTCTCTGGCCTTCCCGCTGTAGTTTGACAGTCTGTTCGATGTTGCTCTGCCTCTGTATCTATTCTTGTTCATCAGTTTATAATGGTCTTAATTATCCATAAATGAGGCCATGTGGTATTTTTCTTTCATTGACTGACTTATTTCACTTAGCATAATGCTCTCCAGTTCCATCCATGCTGTTGCAAATGGTAAGAATTCCTTCTTTTTTACAGCAGTGTAGTATTCCATCATGTAGATGTACCAGTTTTCTAATCCATTCATCTGCTGATGGGCACTTAGGCTGTTTCCAGATCTTCGCTATGGTAAATTGTGCTGCTATGAACATAGGGATGCATATATCCTTTCTGATTGGTGTTTCTGTTTTCTTGGGATATGTTCCTAGAAGTGGGATCACTGGGTCAAATGGGAGTTCCATTTTTAACTTTTTAACATGTTGTGTTTAATATGGAAGTAATTGCTCTGTACTAATCAGCTATCAGATGGTTGAAGAGTTCAGGGGATGATAGAAAGGGGAAGCAGGATAGGCAGCTGACAGGTCCTGAAGGGTGAATGGTATCTGAGGCTAAGCACAGAGAAGCCAGTGGAGAAGTAACCTCATTAATGCGGTTGGGGAGAGGGTACAAGGGCACACGGTGGGGAGGCTTGGAATACCTTATGGCAAAGGGAAATCAGACCTGCCCTTCCCTCCCAAAATTCTCGAAGATAATGCTAATATGTAATTAGACCCACAAAAGTGCTAAGCAATCTTGTGTTTAGGGGCCAAAATAAGTGGCTAGACCAGTGGTTCTCAACCTGTGGGTCGCGACCCCTTTGGGGGGTCGAACGACCCTTTCACAGGGGTCGCCTAAGACCATCGGAAAACACATATATAATTACATATTGTTTTTGTGATTAATCACTATGCTTTAATTATGTTCAATTTGTAACAATGAAAATACATACTGCATATCAGATATTTACATTATGATTCATAACAGTAGCAAAATTACAGTTATGAAGTAGCAACGAAAATAATTTTATAGTTGGGGGTCACCACAACATGAGGAACTGTACTAAAGGGTCGCGGCATTAGGAAGGTTGAGAACCACTGGGCTAGACGATGAATTTCTTCCCACAGGCAGGGGAAGAACAAACAGAACAAGTAGAAGCTAATACCAGGAGTGCAGGACTCAGGCACCTCCCTTGGGAGCAGCAGCAACAGACAACCAATGAACACAAATGTTCTCATACCCACAGCTGCTGCTGCCTCTAACCTGCATACTGAGAAGGAGGTAGCGGGGAGTGTGCTACTAGCACCAGCTTTATTGCAAACTTGTCTGCCATCTTCCCAAAAAGTAAGCAGATTCAATCAGTATGCTTCACCATGAGCATGTGGAGATGAAGAACTACCATATAAGTACTTTCAGGAAGGAAAACAGAGGGGTCGGCCACCCTGTTTTTAGAGGATACGATCACAAATCATACTAGGTGACTTCCTTAAATAAAGGCATATTCCAGACTCCCCCACCCTGCCCCAACTACCCCAACCCTGCAAGGTGAGGAAGCTTAAATGAGTGAAGTTTTGGAGTTGTATTTGGATTGTTCATTGACGAAAGGGCAAGTTAGAATCAATTCATCTAATAATTTATCAAACAGTTACAATATGGAAGATTGAGGAAATATAAAACAGCCTTTTCACTTTTACACATTCTTCATAACTTCCAGTATATTTTAGCTCTGAAAAGAGGTGGACAAAGTGGAAATAAAATCCAAACCTGTGTGAGCAACTTTTATAAAAGGTTTGTGTGAAAATAAGTCTGTTTTAGGCCAAAAGAAACATATATGTACAGATTTCATTTGCCTAGGATAACATTAATCTTCTTGGGTAATCCCAAATTAGAATGTTATAATTAATGAAATAATAATTCCAAAACCTTCCACAAGTATTTGTGCATGTATGCCTTTATGTTGCTCAACTATATAACCTAACATGTTTTTTAAAAAGTTCTAAACACCAGAAAAAAAAAATATATATATATATCCATCTTACTAAGGGCTACCTAGAGCTAGCCAAGAGTGATTGGTTCCTTCACAAACTCACTTAGCACTGTTGTGAACATTTTTACTGCTTGTTCAAACTTTACTGAAGTGCAGCTTCAAGCGTTGAAGTGTGTCAATACTAAGGGCAACCTAGAGATAGCCAAGAGTGATTGGTTCCTTCACAAACTCAGCACTATTGTGAACATTTTTACTGCTTGTTCAAACTTTTACTGAAGTGCAGCTTCAAGCGTTGAAGTGTGTCAAAGCTCCTAGTTTTGTAACTTTATAGCTCTTTAATAACAATGACATTAGAAACACAAAGTGTATCCATTTCCTTGGGGCTCAAACAACACGGAGTTTCAACATCTTTGCTACTGAGTGTAAAATGATCAAACTTGTTTCAATTTATAAATACAGTATTTGCCAATACAGATGTAGTTATCCACTAGGTGACTTACGTGTTTTATCTTTGGCAAGCTGCTTATCTTATATAGCCAGTTAACACACAGTTACTGAATAGTAACTTATAGTAGCACCACTCATTCACTCCATAACTACTTACTGAGCACCTTTACTCCACATTCACAGTGTGTAAGGTACTCAGTCTACCAGAGAGAAATGACCCGGCCCTGGAGTTGACAGTCTACAGAGCTGAGTACATGTATGCAGAGAGGCAGCCCGAACACAGGCTTCAGGACCAGGAGCCACAGAAACCCAGCCCCAGGCGCAGCTCCAGCTCTCTACTACCCAGCTGAGCGCCCGTGGGGAGGTCCCTTCGCCAGGCTCCAGCTCAGCCTCGACTGCCCAATCCATAAACTGTAGGTCTGCACCGGGCAGTCACACCCTTCCCAGCGCTAAACAGTCTCGAGGTCAGCGACTACAGCGTCGCAGGCCACTGTGCTTCAGCGCCTAGCAGAGCAGGTCGCTGGATGCACGGAGGGCAGCGAGGGCCCGACGATTCCCCGACGCGCCTTCTCACTCGTCGGCGGCCTCCGCAAGGCCTCTGTGGCGGGGCCGGGGCCGGGATCTGCGGTGATGGAGCAGAGGCTGCGCAGCCCCTTCCCTCCCGCACCCCG